TCACGCAAAAATAATGCACTTATTTATAAGCAATGCCGAAAAAAAAGATAAAAGAATAGAGAACAATTGGATAACAAAAGTTTCTTAAATCTGTGAAAACAACATAAAAACCTTTGCGACTGTTTAAGATACAATGAGAAAAAAAAAATCTTATAATCTTAAAACCGAAAATAAATGGTTGTCTAATTCTAAATTTATAACCGTAATAATGTGATTTTGAGAAATTAATTTTCAAAAGAGGCACGAAGGTAGACACAAAGCGAAAAGGATCCTTCTTTTACTGCATATATGAAGCGCAAAAGTCAAACAAACTTAAAACGTGTCTTTAAAAAACTTCTTGTGACAAAAAGCATTTTTTAGAAATTATAAGTTTTTCCAGTTTTTCACAAAAGCTAGATAGGTAAAATTGTGGTTTGGAACAAACGAAAAGGCACTGCGATCTTAGATCTGTTGTACTGTCTATTTAGAGTCAACTTTAGAATTTCAATATCCTTAATAAATCCCACTAAGTGCAAATAGCGTTACTTCCTTATGCTAATGATGACTATTTTGAGGATATCCTCCTTGAAGTGTTTACGGCGAGAATCACATAATGGTTTAAAGCCACATAGAATGTGTAGTCTCCTCAGCTGTACCAAAAAACTCAAATACTCATAGTGACTCCAAATATTTTTACAAATAGTTTAAAAAAATATTAACCAAAAACATGGACTTAATGATTTAAGGACTACATGTCCTACATGTTACAATTCTTTTTAAAAGAAAAGGTTTAAATTATGCTTATTTTGCAAAAACTGAATTTATGTAAATTTTTTTTATAATGTCAAGTTTTCTATATTGGACCATCAAAATTTTGTGCGAGGACTATAGTTTTCTATTGATTTGTAATAAAAATAAATTAATAAATCATTTAAAATTATTTCTTTATGCTCTTTAAGTTCAATTTTTATGTTAAGTGTCAATATTTCAAGCAACTCAAAATTCAAAATATTTCAAAGATTTTACCAATAATGAATAATTAAGACCTTTTGGGACTTAATGGTGAAATCCTTCAAACGGCTTTGAACCTTAAGTCAAAATCTTTTAAGAAATTTAGATGTGAATTTTCAATTTAACTAGATTTGAAAAAGGTTTTATTACTCAGAATTCGAAAGTGAAATGAAATTTATGAACAAATTTTTTGAAGTCAAGCATAATTAAAATTGAAACTTTAAAGCTTATTATATCTGATTTCTTTAATACTTTACTCATATTAGGAAATTAAGATAAAAATGTCAGTTTCGGTTGATTTTAAAAATTCAAATTTTTGTGTACTTAGTTCATGCGCTATAATTTATTCCTAGTTATTAAAGTTTTTGGGCTCGTTCACTGATTAAGTTCAGTATAAAAACGACTTTTCAAACCTCCTTCCTCGCAACCTCGTAACAAAATTTAAATGAGAAAAAAAATTCTTTGTTTGAAATGTTACAAAATCTTAAATCCAAAATGAGAACGTAATAAGTGAACGACCCCTTAAGACTTTGTTTTTTACAACAAAAGGATCCACAAAAGAAGTCAATTTTTCTTAATATTAAACAGAAACAATCAGTATCGTCGATCCTATAGATGTCCCACTGCGAATATGTGCCTTCATTGCTTGTAATTGTCTGCATTAGACGGACCTTTACTGCTATTGTTTGAGTTTAAAATAATAATAATTTTCTTTAAATTTCAAATAAATTGAATTCCTCAACAATATATACGGATTCAATTCTGTTTCGGACAAAAGCATCTTTTTTGCAAAATGCTTATTTACACATTGAACAAAAGGTGGTAATAAATCACAAAGTTCTCTCATTTTTCTCTTTCTTTAAAATAACACCTTGACTACCCTTTTTAACAATTTATTTTCTACTTCTTATTTTTGGCTTTTATAATGATTCGTAAAATGGATCTTTTCGGAAAAAACAGAACAAATTTTTGACTTCTGCTAAATCATTGTTTTATATTCAAGAGGATTCTTCATCTACAAAAATATGCATAGGGATGAGGGGGTTTGAGATTTTCAAAAGGATCAAACAGAATATATTGTTCTTCAGACAAAAATTGTGAAAAGGGGGGAAAGGTAGGATTCCTGTTTTCGTTTCCAACACGTATGATTTGATGATCAAATTAATTAAGCATTAGTTCATCGATAAACCACCAACAATTTAAAATCATTTAATTTGTCGACATTTAATAACAACTATTTTACAATTATAAAAATGATGCCTAAAAACTAATTCTTTGTAATCTTAATTTTTTGTTAAACTTTATTGAAGCATTTCCACCCATTGTCGATATATAAAAATACAAATCGATTATTTCTCAAAAAAACGGATGTTCCGGGTAATAACAAATTTTGAAAGATTTTGGGAAGGCTTATATGTAGGTATGACATCAGAAATTATGATTAATTAAAGTTTTTTTTGAAGCATGAAAGAATCTTCCAACTTTTTTACTAGCTAGTTTTCAATCTTATTTTTGTACGATTGGTGATTGATCGAAAATTAATTGCTGTATTAGAATTTTTAACCTCTCATACGTTAGGCTATGAGAATAAAATCACGATATTTAATGACTTTTAAATTGTATTTCAGTAAAAATAAAATGGAATAAAATTCATGGTATGATCACGAGTGTGAAATTTTCATTTTTGAATGCTCGTGAGTGAGATAATTTAACGAATCAAATGACGAAAATTTAACAAAAAAAGTAATTGAATAATTCTGTTCGTCGTGGTTATGGATGATTATTTACCAACTTAAAAAGTTTCTTGAATATTACTTAAATTTATCATCATTTTTCTAGGAATATAATTTGATTTCTATAAATGGTTCCCACTTTCATTTTAGTATTGGTATCCCACCTTGATATAAAATGACAAAAAGTTTCATAAACCTAAAATTTTTAAGAATGAATAACCATAGGTTATGAAAGAACCATATTATTATAAGGATCATTCATTCATAAATAACAAAAGTGCATTAACAAGATGATTTATTAAATGACCAATTCTTTTATTATTTCGCGGCCCATTATTTTTATTGATAGTAGAGATGTCATATATTTGGGTTTTTACTATTTTTATAAATACCCAAAAACCCAAATAGTGACCCCAAAAATTGTATAAAAAGTTGGAAAAAACACGTACTTAATGATGATTATGGACTATAGTTGTATTTTTTATGTTACGTGTCAAAATTTCAAGTATTTCAAAATTCAAAATATTTCAAACATTTTAGCGAAATCCTTAAAACTATTTAGAACCAAACGAAGTCAAAATCTTTTAAGAAATGTTAAAATGTGAACTTTCAATTTAACTAGATTTGCAAAAGGTTTTACTAATCAAATTTAAAAGTGAAATGAAATTTATGAACATATTTTTTTAAGCCAAGCATAATTAAAATTGAAACTTTAAAGTTTATTATATCTGATTCCTTTAATACTTTACTCATTTAAGAAAATTAGAAAGCAAAATTAATTTTAAAAATATACAAAAAAAAATTTTTACTGAGATTTGGCCTGTTGTAAGCATTATTTTGTGTTCACAAACTTTTTGGGTAGAAATACCTAGGCTCCCGCAGATTATAATTTTTAAATAATCCCATACAAAATTTATAATATTCAATATATATGATCTTCGTTTTTAAAAGATTATAATCTGCGGGAACCTTGAGAAATACAAATATTTGGATACCCCAAATAGTTCGAAAAAACCCCTAATACTCAAATATTAGGGTACGTGTATTGACATCTCGATTCGATAGGTGGCAATATGAAAACTTTAGAAATGCCCATTTCTTTTGAATTCTTTTGTTTAAAACACACTAGCAACTCATCCGTTTCATTAATTTTGAATTAAAAAAAATAAAATGAAATTATCTGCGTTAAATTCAGTAAATGGATTTGATGAGAAAATTACCTGAGAAATTAAAAGTGAAGAATTAATGTAACGAATGATTACCTCGCTCCCTCGTTCTTTGTAATTTACTGTCAGTGGCAATTTCGGAACGATGTGTTTAAGTTATTTCATCGGAAATTCTACGGATAGATATATCATTTTGATTCGCCTCCAAAAACGATTAAAGGTCAATTTACTGCTATGATTTTAAAGTTCGAAATAAAAAATGATTTATTTCTTGAAAGGACAAGAGATGCATGATGAAAAAGGTTCAGTTTATGATGTTCTGTTTGTGAAAACCGAAAGAAAAAAAATTTCTTCGTAAATTATTAGATTCCTTTAAAACGGACCTTAAAGAATAAGTCAAGAAATACCAATATTAACTGTCTCGGAGTAATAAAACCATAGCCCCAAAACGATGGATACATACATCGAGCCGTGAGAATTGCACCTGCCGTTAATTTATCAACAATTTTCAACCTTTATTTTCTCATTCTCTTTTCACATTTAATGCATTTGCGTATTTTTTCATCTTTCTCAAAAAAAATTTTTTTTTGTACAATCTCAACCAAGTTTTACAACTATACAAAAACAAAAGGAAAAAAATTTGCAGAGAGAAAAATACTTTTTTAAAATATTTGTGAGTTGGAACAATATAAACAAAAAGAAATCTGAGAGGATCGTCATACTTCTTTCCCATCAAATACTCACTGAAGAAAGAGCAAATAAGTTTACCTGAAGATCATGTATATTAGAAGGAGAGAAAAGAGAAAAAAATAATTGAAAGTCTGTAACAATATATACGATGTTCTTCGTTTCCGTTCTGCTTAGTCTCATACTTACCTTCAACGTGTTAACATAACAAAAAAAAAAAATAACCATTTTCAACATTAATTTCGTGAAGTTAAAAATCTTAATAGTTTTTCAAAAAGATGAAGTTGAAAAAAATATAAAAAATAAAAACACTGAAAGATCGATAATTTTATGTGAAAATGATATGAAAAAAAACTTTTATTTTGCGTTGATATCTGAAAGTGCATAATCTAAAACCAATAAAAAAAAATCAAAAAAGTTGAATTTATAATAAGCTACACGTTGAGAATATAACGAAGAAAAGAACATAAAAAACAACGTTTTACGGTGAAATAAAAAAATTGGAAAATTATTAAAAATTATAATTTACGGTCGCTAGACGAGAGAATAAGACTAAAATTAATTAAGTTAATTGGGTAAAATGGAACGTATCATCATAAAGAGCTTAGTTTTATTGACTCTAACAAATTGGGCTATTGGATTAGCTTTATGTCCTGCTGGTTGTTCATGTGAAGATGAAAGATTATTAGTTCGTTGTCAAGAAGGCAATAATCTCGATATTTTGCCGATTACTTTAAATCCAGCCACAGAGCGTTTAATCATCAAATTCAACTCAATTAGGATAATCGATTCATCGATTCAGTTCTATAGTGAGCTAAGACTGCTTGATCTCAGCAATAACCAAATTTATTTGACCGAAGATAAAGTTTTCATCTATCAAAATAAACTCCTGCAGCTTCATTTGAATAACAACAAAATTAGTGATATAAATAACAATACATTTAAAGGCCTCGTACGACTTGAGACCCTAAATTTGCGCGGCAATTACATTATGGAATTGAGAAACGGTGTCTTGGCGACAACACCAAACATTGAATATTTGAATTTGGGACAAAACAGAATAGCCACAATCGAGCCCGAAGCGTTCGATGGATTAAAGAATTTAAAATCATTATACTTAGATGATAATATCTTGACATCAATCCCAAATTTTGCCTTTAAAAATATTCCATATCTTGCTGAGCTCTTCATTGGTATGAATTCCCTCAACTCACTGGAGAACGACGCATTCAGAAATTTAATAAATTTAGCTGCACTCGACATCCATGGTTCTCTTTTAACAAACATTACTCACGCTGCTTTTTATCGTCTGAAAAATTTGAAATCACTGGACATATCAGATAATTCGTTAACGAAAATACCTACTGCCGCTTTAAGTAGTCTCCAACGACTTGAATCGCTCAAAATTGGACAAAATGATTTTGAAGTAATTGGAGAGGGATCATTTTTCGGTCTCTCATTTCTAAGAAAAATTGATATTTCCGGCAATAAAGTCTTAAAACGAATTCAACCTGGTGCTTTTGCCGCAAATCCTAATCTTGAAACGATCACCATTTCATCAAATAAATTATTGATTGACATTCACGATGGCGTATTCAGCGATTTACCAAATATTAAAAATGTGGATTTACAAAATAATGCTTTTGTGACTATTCGTGAACAATTGTTGCCCTGGAGATCATTAAAGTCATTTGAACTTGCCGATAATCCAATTAGCTGTGACTGTGAATTGAAATGGCTTCATACAATTTTGATAGAGGATATAAAAAGTAATTATGATATAATTTGTAAGTCACCAGTACAATTTTATGAGCAACGACTTCAAGATATTCCAAATGAAGCTCTTGGATGTAGCAACGGTAGATCACCAATTGTAACATATATAATCTTCATACTCATGATCGCAGTTGCGACAACGATAGGAGTTTACAAGAATCGACACTTTTTTAGACACAAATTTCAACGTAAATCACAATTCATTAACAATGATGCCGACTGTAGTTTTGAGCAGCATCACATTTATGAAGAGATTTCAGTGAAGCATAATGACAACATGAGCAATCTTATGCATTACAATAATACAGTAAACAGTAATATTTATAGTTTCGGATGCCCCTATCCGCTTCAGCAAGCTGTCACTCAACCACCAATTTATTTACCAACGGGACTTTATGACGAACGAAAAATCATTCCACTTTATACTACTCATTAATTGAGTACGTAGACACGCTTTTTTAAATACATTATCATTATTAGTGTATGACCAATTGAATGACATTGATTTGTAAAATCATTAAACTTCAATGATAGTATAGAAGGGGAAATTTTTAGTTTCTTATATCGCTTATTGAATCATTTTCTAGTCCCAAATGAGTTTAAACTAATTACTTTGTAGTAAAAAATAAGAAAAGTTATGTTTTATTTATGGTAATTTTAAGTAAATTTTCAATGAGTTTTTTTTTTATTTCTTCTTTTTTACATCTTACTTTTGCTCTAATTTAAATGTTGCTAGAGTTTTTGATGAGCCGTACCTAAGCTAATTAAAATATGCTTGTTAATGCTCTACTTTTCTTTCATTAAAAAAGAAGAAAAAGAAAAAAAATCTCATTACGTTTTTTTAAAAAAGTTAAGAAAAACGTGGTAAAAATAGGAAGGAAAATATAAAAAAATTTTAATGAAAACGTAAGAGTTTAATTTACAAATTAGGTCATAAGTAAACTATAAAAAAATTCAATAAATCATTTAAAATAAGAATGTTTGATAACTACACATTTGAGTTTTTGCTTGAGATTTAATTTTTGATATTTCAGATCTATAGGAATGAAATTCTCATTACAGCATCCTGCATCAACAGCCAAAAAGAAATTTCGATTGATTTTTTTTTTCTTTTTGTTCGTTACTTTCAATGCCCACCTAGAATTGTTCATCATCTCATGGGCTTCGTCATAAACAAATTGTTCGTGAGTGACACGTTGTTTTTCTTGATTATCTCGTTATCCATAAAAGTGGCAAATTTAAGAGTTACTTTTTTAAAAAGAGAATTAAAATCTTCATCTATTGTTGTTCAATTCACTTCTTGAAAGTTTCGTCACTTACGTCCATTTTTTTTTGAAATTTTGCTGTATCTTCATTATTATTGTTTATTGATATATCATCAACTGCATTTTTTTAAGGTCAGAAATACAGCTTTTGGTATTTAAATTATAGTATTTGGGATTAATGATTGAATAATTAAGAATTTTGATAATTTAATTTTTGATATTTTATAGTGCTAGTGAAAAATTCAATTATTTTTCTCCGTTTAGCAAAAATCCTTTAAAAAACGTCGGGCCCACGTATAAATGATTATAATGCATGTTTACAATCAAGTTCGTGGCTGCTACAATAATTATTCAGAACAGTACCATGATGTTATGTTGTCAGTTTATTCTCAATCTTGTTGTTTTTACTCCCTTCGTCCAACATTCCTTTTCTTTCAAATATGTGAGGGCGATGATGTCGCTCGTGATGAAAGTACTTTTTCGTGTTTTCAGTTCATACACATTGAGTCTGATATGAAACCACACAATCAATATTAAATAAAAGAGAACATTTTTCAGCAACATATATGCGTTATCATCATTTTGTCAAAATCCAGCTGCAAAAGTATTCTTTTTAAATTTTAATCCATAATATTAGCTTGTTAATCATTGATTTAATGCAATTTAACATAAATTATTTTTATAACCATTAAGTTTTGATTTCTGTGAAAAATTGAGAACTAGCCATGACATTTAAAAATAAAGTTATTTTAAGTATGCGTGCTGAATAAACTGTTTGTGCAATGGGACAACTAGAAAATATTCCAAACATATGCAGCACTGCATTTAATCCGTCAACCAGCATATATTTTTCATGCAATAAATTGTTGTTCTTCCAACCGGCATTGATGCACTGCTAAAGCTGAGAAGAGAATATACAATGAAAAAAATTTAAACTGCTTGCAGGCTTAAAAGGTGATTTTAGTTCTTTTCATTATAAATAAATTTCCATGTTTTACCATAACTCTATCTATGTACCTATAGCCTAAAATTTGAACTTATAAAAATTATAATCGCTTTTACTAAGAACTAAAGTTGAATGCATGAATATAAGAGAGAATGAAAAAATAGGAATATTTAATGCACATTTCTTGTAAAAGGCAAAATAATATCAATCTTCACATCTTCCTTTTTGTGGCCTCTTCTTATTTGCAGGTGAATTCAAAATATATACAAACACAATAAAGAAATAAAATCTTCTCAAAATTATCTCTCATTTCGTTCATCTCATACCTTAAAATTATAAAATAAAATCGTTGCACCGGGCAGGTGTAAAAATTTAATGAGAAGTTTTTGTATTATATTTTTCGATTTTCAATCTTCTTTTTTTTCAAACAGAATTATTTATTCTAATTCCACAAAAAAGTGAAAGGATACACACTAAGATGGAAAGGTATTTATTGATGAACCAATCCTTTTGACAAATGCGACTCCACTGTAAAATTTCGTTTGGTTAAAATTCTTTTGTTGTCAATATTCCTTTTCACTCTTTTATCTGTCTTTTATGATATTATGGGGAAGAAAAACAACAATAAAAAGGCATAGAAAAATGGAAAAAACACATTTCGATAAAGAGTGAAATTCTATGCCCATTGAATGGATAAAAGGATGTGAAAATGAGGGATTAACTCTTTTGTTCCGATAAATTTCTCAGCTCTGTAGAATTTCTCTATTTACTTTCGGACTTAGCTTTAATGAAGCTGTCAAAAATGTGTTTGGATTTTGATGAGCATAAAATTGTTTCTAAAATAATTTTTTTTATTTAACCTAAGTGTTAATTGAAAATTATCTTATCTTTAACCATTAATAAAGAACGAATAATGCTTGCTAACCGTTATCTGGTATTTTGGTTCTTAATTATCTAATATTTAATGAAAAATGAGGCTATAAAATAAATATGAAACCTCTACCTTTATATTTAAGATTTCTCAGACTTTTTTAAAATCTATTACACGCTGTGCATGGTTACATCTCAGTAGGTAATCATCTCTATACTCTATACTTTTTCTATAGCAAAGTATTTTTTTTTGTATTTTGCAAACAAATTTTTGCCTTTTCTTTCTCTTTCATATTTTCCTAATTTTTCTCTTTTATTTGTTTCATTTCATCCATAAACTTTGTTGAAGCTTCGTTTTATTTTACTGATGCACCTTTCGACCATAAATATTGCCTTTATGATACCTTAAAGCATGGGGAATCAACAAATCATTCTTTTGTAAAACTGAATGTGCTAAAATTAAATAAGTTTTATTTTGTAAAACCATATCACAGAATTATATCAACTTTTCAATGAAGCTGATATCGTAAAAAGCAGAGTTAACAGGCTCCGTTGGGCTGGGCATGTCTTTAGGAGACCTGTTGAAGCTCCCATTAATAAAGTCTTTAAGAATGTATTTGTAGATGGCAAAAGATCACGCGGACGTCCTAAAAACTCTTGGAAAGAAGCTGTTGACAGAGACAGTATTATTAGAACTAATTCGTAGAATATTCGTTCAAAATCACAAAACAAAACAATAATTACAAATAAGATTTTTGTTGTTTTCCATTCACACGTGATATTTGAAGATCTTTTTTGAAAATGTTCAAAATTTGTCGCGATTTAAGCTATATTTTATATCTAATGATTTGTATGATTTTCCCATCACTCAAACTGCCACAACTTTCAGAAAACAAAATATTTATATATTCACACCGTGTTCACGTGTTCACGTGTTAATGATTGGTTTTTGGAACAAAAAAATTCAGTTTCGATAATGTTGACAGAAAAACATTAATTACTTAATTTTTCATAATTCAAAATAGTGATTATCAACTTGTTACACAAAATAAAAAGTATAAAGAACCATGTTTTTTTGATAAAAAGGTCTTTTGTAGATTTCCCCATATATCTCAACTTTGGGTTTGAAGATTTCCGATGCGAAAAGCAGTTGAAATTTGTTGGGTTATGCTCAGTGAATGTGAACAATGCTCTTACATCTTTAAAATTGTGCTGTACATTAAGTAACCGAAACATATTTAGCACTAATCCGATTAGGATTTAGCAAACTGTTTCAAAATATTATTGTTTCTTTAGATTCTCATCTTGCATTCTTTTGTGTCTATGTGTTTTGATATATTTTATGTCATAATTGTTTATACTACCTTAGAAGTTATCCATGTTTCTGGGCTTTTCATGTAAATTTGAGAAAGAAGGAAAAAAATTAAAATAAGTCACAGGCGTTTCTTTCCAAAAAAAATCTCATTTCAATTTCATACATTTGGCATAATATGAAACTAATCCACTTATTGAAAAAGATATGTATGTAAAGTCGATTAATGTAGTTAAGGAATTTAAATTTTATACAATGGGCGTTATTAGCTATCTTTTTTAACAAATAAAATGAAATAAATGAAAAAAAAAATTCACCTGCCACATCGAAAAATATTTATTCTCAGAACATTTCTTCAGTAACAAAATAATAAGATATGAAAGAATACCAAAAACTTGTATATAAAGACTATAGACAGCTCGATCATGATTTTTATGTCTCATCAATAGAAAATGAATGCATATCGATTAAAAATACATTCATGGTTCTTTCTATATTAAAAGGTCGCTTCTTTTTGTTCTTCTTTCTTTCAGTTCCTTCATTTCGATGTGAAGTTATAAAACTTTTCACCTGCTTATTCGCTCTCTTGGTTACATTGCGATGATCATTACATAAATGTTAAGTCTTTTTTCTTTCCTTCCGTCATAGAAAAAATGTAAAAAATATATTGAAATAGTATTTACAACATTATTGGTTAAATGTTAACAAATTATTGGTTGATTTGAATTGTTACCATAATAATAGTTCACATTTCATATATGCTTCTTTAAACTGTAAGAAATCTATGATGATAAGCAATAATTTTTCAGCTTGAAAAAAAGCATCAATATTTTATGCTTGTACTTCACCTGCCAGTTAACTAATTTGAAAATCACGAAATGAATTGTCTTTCTTTTCATTTTTCGTGACCATCATGTTAACAACAATGTTTACCACTATTAACAAACTGGCACTGGTGCCTGCTCTAAGGGAAAATTTTTGAAGAATATTCTACCCGAGTAGCACCAACAACAACAACTGGTTTTACGTCGACGTAAAACCAGTTGTTGTTGTTGGTGCTACTCGGGCTAGTTTTCTAAGTGCTTTGATTAAAGAAATATTTCAATATGGAGAGCGTCTGATTGTTAAGTTTACAAAAATTTAATTTTACTTTATGGCTAATTCCATGGAACAATAATTGTTCAACAAATTTGTCTTCAAATTGAT